CTTGTTATATGCTTTAAACTTCCATTAGAGCTCTCCTAAGAGCTAGTTGATGCTTGTTCCAAGCCTTACACTTGCATGAACGTCTTATTAAGTCGAATATCTATGGATCTGAATGTTGGGGTTGTTGTAGAGCCCAGATCTACTGTCTTTTTGGAGTTATATTGCATGATAACCATAGATCTACCCATTTTATGCATCTTTTAGCCTTATTTCCCTTATTCATGAGGTTGTACACGTAAAGTTGGAAACTTTACGTGGTAAATCAGCTTATTGGACTCAGATCTATCAATTGTATGCATTGGATTCAAACAAAATCAAGTAAAAATCAGTTGCATGGCGGCAACTCGGCGAGTCGGAAGAACGACTCGACGAGTTTGGTCGCGAGTCCCGAGTTCTTCAGTTTTATCAGTGTCGAGTGGACAGGTGAGTTAGAGAGTGGACTCAGCGAGTTGAGGGTGAACTCAATGATGGAGGGACTCGGCGAGTTGTTCATCAACTCGGCGAGTCCAAGGCAATCTTCTTGGGATCAAGAACAACTCGTCGAGTCTGTTCATACGACTCGGCGAGTCGGATGAAGATTGTCTGAGTTCTTGGATCAAGAGGGTACTCGTCGAGTCGATGCCAGACTCGACGAGTAGCAGTGAGTAAAGTGAAAAGTGAGAGTAGGACTCGGCGAGTTGGGTGGCCCAACTCGGCGAGTCAGCCCAAAGAGAGTTGACTTTGACCAAGGGTAAAAGAGTCATTTTACCCCAAGCGCAGTGTTTAGTATTTGATTGAGTGTGTTTATGGACTTGTAGCCGAGGAGATTCAGGAGCAGCCGCCGTTAGCTTTCCGAGCCACACACTCAGCAGCCAGCTTACGAGGTGAGTTTCCTTCCAGTAGGAACGGGTCTAAGGCCACAATGCCGGCCCGTTCAGTTAGCAGTAGTTTCCGGATTTAGGTCCGATGCAGTAGTTAGTATGTTCGATGCCTTCGTGGCTCGAACAGGATTTGTGTGCTATGTTTTATGTGTTAAGTATTATGTGTTCCGGGCCACGGCCCGATGTAGCATGTCGTATATGTGTTATGCTAGTTGATGTGTTATGCTATGCCATGTTCAGTCAGTCAGTTCCGGACTTCGGTCCGATGCAGTTAGTTCCGGACTTCGGTCCGATGCAGGGGACAAGGTCCCAGTCAGTTCCGGACTTCGGTCCGATGCAGTTAGTTCCGGACTTCGGTCCGATGCAGTCAGTTCCGGATTTCGGTCCGATGCAGTTAGTTCCGGACTTCGGTCCGATGCAGGGACAAGGTCCCAATCAGTTCCGGACTTCGGTCCGATGCAGTTTCCGGGCTTCGGCCCGATGCAGTGGGCAAGGCCCAATATGTGTTTATATGTTATTGTATGGTATGTGGTAGTTTGGGGGAGCTCACTAAGCTTCGTGCTTACAGTTTCAGTTTGG